GGCGGCCCGCCCGGAAGCGCAGGGCGGCAGCGCAGCCTGTGTGCTCTGGGGCAGGCGACGTCGGCCCAGAGGCACGGGGGCGGCAGAGAGGGCGGGCCGCCGGGATCTGGCCGGCGGGCCAAGGGGAGGAGGGGAGGAGGAGGTGGGAGGGGGGGAGGGAAGGAGGATGCGAGAAGAGGAAGGGACGAGAGGCACAAGAGGAGGAGGAGGAGGAGGAGGAGGAGGAGAAGGAGGAGAAGGAGGAGCGGGTAAGAGAGGAACAAGACGAGGAGGAGGAGGAGGAGGAGGAGGAGGAGGAGGAGCAGGAGGAGGAGGAGCGGGAGGGAGAGGAAGAAGAGGATGAGGAGGAGGAGGAGGAGGAGGAGGAGGAGGAGGAGGAAGAGGAGCAGGGAGGAGGAAGGGAGGAGAAGAACAAGAGGAGGAGGAGGAGGAGGAGGAGGAGGAGGAGGAGGAGGAGGAAAAAGAGCGGGGGGGGAGGCTGTTCAACCTGCCTGCCCCCGGCTTCCCCAGTCCTGCCTCCCTTGTCTCCTTGAGCTGCACAGGGGGCAATTCTGCCACTCCTAGTCCCCGGGCTGATACAACGGCTGCTCCGGGTAGAGGAACGGATCCTGCCCGGCGCCGGCAGGGACAGGCTGACTAGATAATAGGAGGAGCAGCACGGGAGAAAACAGCGAAGATGCGGCACGACAGGGCGCAAGCACGAGGTGGGAGCAATGTAGAATAGTGGAAGAGACGCGACGGAACTGGAGCAAGTGTTGGGCAAGGAGGACGAGGGAGGAGGAAGAGGAGGACACCGCCGCCTGAAGGAGTCCGTCGCGCGCAACGCCAACGGCCACCCTAGAAGGATCAGACAGATGGGCCCGAGCCAGTGCTCGCCCCACGCCGACCTGATTGCCCACTGCAAGGGATCACGGCAGGGACGGCGTACGTGCACAGAAGAGAGCACGCAAGACAGTCTGGCGAGCTCGATTAAGAAAAACACAAAAAACAACGAGTCATAACCAGCCCCCCACGCTTGGCCGCAATAGTTTCAGCTTGTAGTTGTGCGAATATGTAGTTAAGAAATTAAGAGGCGGTGGTTCGGTTGGGGAGCGAGGAACCCATTATCCCTCTCTTCCCCTGCTACCCTCCCACTATATGAGCATGCCTCCCTCCCCCCGCTCATCCATCAGCATGTGTCGGTAGTTTCAGTGTCTGTATGTTTTCTTTGTCAGCAGCCGCCCGTGCATTGCTGTCTGCGGCCGCCTGCGAGAGAGAGAGAGCCCCCCCCCGCCCGCGCTGACAAGCACTCGAAGTACGAACGGGTGCCACTTGTGCTGATGCTACCCCGCTTTGCAGCGAGATCAAGACAGGATGGAGCTCACGCGCTCGGCCCAGACGGGCTTGCGGCCAGGGGTCCACGTGAGGTCAGCCGGACTTAAGGCACACCCGTAGCGTGCCACACGTGTGACCCCGAGCGTGCTCTGCTTACCGCCCGCCAGCCAGGCGCTGACGGATATACACCGTTGACGCCTGCTTTGTTGCTCTCTCTTATGTTTATTTGGTTCCTCTCTGCACTCTCCGCTGCTCTCTGTCAGAGGTCAGGAGGCAGGAAGTCAATCAGTATCGCGCCATTTTTGCCGCGCTATGTGCTGTTTGCTGAGGCACGCTTTGCCGCTTGCTGGGAGGATGCGAATATAGCCTGCATGCTCGTGTGTCTCAGGGGAGACATCTCACAACATGCATGCAGGATCGCACGTACAGCCACTCCCTGTGGGTACTGCCCAGCAGTACTGTAATGGCCAAGAGTTTAACATGTGCCTATAGTGGGTGGGAGGTTTTGTCATCGAGTAGGGTACCTTGCTGCTCGCTTCCCAGCTTTCAGGCAGGAGAAGGATCTGCTCAGTGTTCAGTATCGCGCCATTTTGGCCGCGCCATGTGCTGACCTACGAGGCGAAGATAATTGCGCTTCGCCTTCTCAGTCCCTCCGCGCCGCATGTTGCGAGGGTGCGAAGATGGACAGCACGCCCGTGTGTCACGCTCGTGTTGCCGCCCCGTTGGCCAATGCCTCAGGGGACGCACAGCATCGCTTGCAGGACCGCCCAGCTGCCCTCTGTGCTATGCATTTGCACAGGACTGACCACAGTATTTCAGCCTGTGCCAATCAGGGGTGGGAGGTTGTGTTCGGAGGGGTGAACTACTGTCCTTGCGTCAGAAGTTTTTGCTCTGACTGATGTTCTGCTAGCTGCAGCGCCACCCGGTCTCGACAAGCCACATGCTTCAGCGAGGAGCCAATCCGAAAATCGCGCGGCCGCCTCAGGCCACCCTCCTGGGACGACCGTCCAAGCAACACCGAGGCATACCAGTGCCGCAGTCGAGCCGTCGGGAGGACCACGCTTCCCGTTGACGTGCTACCCGTCCGCCAGCAGGAGGGGGGTGGCGGACGGGCGGGAGGGCGCGTCGGGAAGGTTTGGGGGGGATGCTGGCCTTGGGCCAGCTTGGAGCCACCTTGGGCCCCCTTCCCTGTTGCCTCCGCGCTGCCCTTCTGCAGCCCCCTGCCCCCGTGACCAGAAGTGCCTGCTTCTGGCTGCGGCGTTGCTCCGCCTGCTCTAGCTGACCCCGCTGCCGCCCTCCGCGTCCTTGCAACGAGTCGGCGGAAACAACCGCACGGCATCTGCAATAGATGAACACTGGCCGCGGCCCGTGCACCCAATCATCAAATAGCGGCCACGAACCCGTTTCGCACGCTCCGCCGTCGGAAATAAATAATCGCACTCCCCTGACCGAGACGATGCTCGACACAGAATGGGGACTCGCAAGAGGCCCCCGCGCCGAACCTTCGCACTCGATTGTGCAACGCTACAGGCCACTCTGCGAGGCAAGCCGTGCACAGGGCCCGCGGGGGCCGTCACGTCGGGGCGCGACGCGAGCGCGAGGGCACGGCTACAGATGACGCCCACGACGACCCCAGGGCCGAAATGCCGTTGCGGAGAAGAGGTGCCGACCGTCGCGCGCCGCGCGACGACGAGCGCCTGTGCGATGATGTCGCGATCGTCGCGCGCAAAGGCTGCGATCCGCGGGCTGCATCGGGAGACCCTGGCCTGAGGTGCCCACCCGCTTTTCTAGGACGGGCCGTCTGGCCTCCGCCCCACACGAGGCCCACAGGGCCGCAAAGGGCACAAGATGGCGCGAACAGCTGCGGAGACCCTGGGGCAGAATCACCTCTCGCAACCTCTTGAGCAGGGGGGGGTATGCAATGACACGTGATGGATCTGCTGTATGATCACACGCGGTCGGAGCATGGCGCGGCACGCGCGATCTACCAGGCACTGCTGACACCGCTTGCCTGCGATGTGCATCTGTCCAACATGTCAGAGCGATTCCTGACCCACCCCATATGATGATATCGTGTCCCACCTGGTACTGTCCCACCACAAGAAGACTCACCCCACAGTGTCCAGCCGCATACAGTCAGGAACTCTTGCGTAGAGTGTGGCGGCGCCGGCCCTGGCGATACGCACTGCCCTGCGAGCTGATAGCGTGTCGCTCCGCTCCGCGCGGCGGGAGGGCGGGCAAGGCTCGGGACGTCGATGCTTGGGGACTGAGACGTGGTCGACGTGGCCAGCGTATCGCCTTGAAGCCTGGAGCGAAGTGGGCCAGAATGGGCGGCATGACGCGCTAAGCAAACGTTCCTGACCGCAGATCCGCTTTCCAAGCGAAAACGAATACCCCTTCCCCCGCGCCAAGGGCTAACGGTCCACCCATTGGCACTGCCGTTCGCATGGGATGATGCGTTATCACTCATAATCCACATGCAATCAGACCACTCCAGCCAGGCCAGTACCGGTCCCCCCCGTCATCCCTGCCAACGAATACAATGCGCGCACATTCGTTTCTCACAGAAGATCACACCCCTAGAACCAGTTGCACAACATACCGCAATGTCCACACGCGCGTGGACAAGTCAACATTCGACCAAGCACATGACTGCTTTAATACTTATACATAACAACACTAAAAGCCCATAGGCGTTCCATTGTTGTTTTATGACGAATGATGCCAATGTTCTGCCTGCGCGCACTTGCTGACGTCATTGGGAAACGTATGTTTCTAACAAGTTGCCCAGAAGCCACATTCACGTCTCACCACGCGGTGCATCCGCATTAATCTAGCATGCGCTCAACGCACGGCACCATGCGAAAACATCACATGTGGGCCACATGCGCGTGCCGCCACGCGCGCGTCGAAACAATTCCAAGACCATTGAACACATTTGAGTAGCATGTGGACTGCCAACGAGAAGTCTGTCAAACTGATTGAATGAATGCGCGCGGACTTCTACATGACACTCCCCAGCACCATCGCATCACACAGGGTGTCGTTATCACCCATCGCCGCAATTGCCGCCATCATCAGCACAAGCACATACATCACCGACACATGGATATGGTCATCATCATCGTCATCGTCGTCACCACGGCACCGTCATTGACCTGACGTCGTCATCGTCATCATCGCCAGTACCACCGCTGGTATTATTATCGTTGCCGCCGTTGGACGTCATCATGAAATCGCGCCCGCCCGAGTCACCTACCCGCACAGAAGTGCCCGCGCACCAGCGCGGCCTTTGAAACGCGCTGGGAAATTCCCATCTGTAAGCGCCATCGCGGCCGCATCAGCTGTGCCAAACCAGCTGGTCGCTCTGCGCGCGAGCATGCGCTCGCCACAGCAAGCGTAGAGATGCGCTAGCAAGTGCCAATCATCAACCACAATCGTGGCCGAATGGATTTTGCGAGACAAGCTGCGGGTGGGAGGATGGGATGTTTGCGCGAGCAGTGACATTGGTTGATAACACCAAATTGTTTGCACCACATGGACCATATTGCACACCGTGAGATGCAGTTCACATGTGGCCACCCGGACATTGCACTCCATACAGAACACCGTCAAGCTTGCGCCTCATCTCTTGCACCGTCTGGATGGCCCTCTATGGTTATACCCAATCGGTTGAAACACTGTTTGGGACTTCCCCCCGTATCCACTTTCTTTCTTGCGCGCGAGGTGAGGCTGGTGGTGATCAATGCCGCCGCCGATCTATGGAACCTCAAGCGGCCGCTGCCGGCTTCCAGCGGCTGCCAGAACAAAACGGGGCTGCCAAGCGAAGGGGCAGACCAGAATGCCCCCCGACAGGGTTGCGGGGACCCGCCAGAGCAGGGCGAACTATCCGGAGGATGAGGGCGGATCAGGAGGACTGCGAGGAAGAGGGTCGCTCTTCCCAGGCGTCCAGGGCCAGCAGGTGCGAGTAAGCAGGAGCAGCAGGCTGCGGGGAAGGCCTGAACAGGCCGAGCCCGGCGGTGGTAAATCGGATCCCTCCTCCTCCTACCCCTCGAAAGGAAAATCCTTAGTAAGACGAAGCCAGGACGAGGATAAATTCGGGTGAGGATAAATCGAGAATCTCTGAGATCTGGCGGCTCTGGAAGATGTCTCGGGCGCCGCGGCTTTCTCAGAGCGTTCCAGAACGCTCTGAGAGCGTGCCCCAACGTTCTGGAACCGATCTATCCTCGTCCTAGCCCCGTCCGACCTTCGGGTGGTCTGAAACGTCCCAATTGGGGAAACAGGTACTGATACCGCTACTCCCCGGACCTCTCCCAGAGCGCGTACTGGCCAGGATGTCGAGGCGAATCGAGCGGTGGCGACGAGGGCCTCCGAGGAGGCCAAAGAAGGCGAAAGCGATGGAAGGGTGGTAGAAGAATGAACAAAACCATAAACATAAACTTTTGGCTCTCCGCGTGGATCTCTTAGATCTGCGCTGGAAGCCTCTCCCTGGCGCGCGGAGCGCGCCAGGGGCGGCGCCGGAGGTGCCGCCAGGGTGGGCCCAGCGCGGATCCAAGAAATCCGCGCGGAGCGCCACCAGTTTGTGTTCACGTGTTCTTGTTTTTCTTCTTCTTCTTCTTCTTCTTCTTCTTCGAGCTGTTCTTCTTCGAGGTATGGGTACCGTCTCCTCCTCTGGCCGATGCCCGCGCCCAGCGAGATCGCGCAAACAAACGCCCTGGCGTGCGCCCTGCCGGCGCCGTGGCGCGCTGGCGCGCGGGCGCGCCTGCCGGCCCCCTCTGTGGGCCGACACCGGCCTGAGCCACAGGTGGCGGCGCGCGCAAGGGGGCGGGGGAGGAGGAGGAGGAGGAGGAGGAGGAGGAGGAGGAGGAGGAGGAGGAGGAGGAGAAGGAGGAGAAGGAGGAGGAGGAGGAGAAGGAGGAGGGGGAGGAGGAGGAGGAGGAGGAGGAAGAGGAGGAGGGGGTGTGGGGGAGGGGGGAAGGCTTCTGAGAATGAGGCGGCTTCTGAGAAGGCGCCAGCCCTGCGTCTGCAGATGAGGCCCGCGCGCCTTCCCAGGAAGCAGGAGTGCTTATCAGAAGCCTTCCCCCCTCCCCCCCGCGCCCCTGCTGCGCGTGGCCGACACAAGGGGCCTGGAGGGAGGGCTGGGCTGCGACGCCGGCGCGCCAGGGCGCCTGCCCAGGCCCTGACCGCCCAGGGAAGCGTCGCAGCCCAGCCCTGCCACGCCATCCTGGCGCCTGACGCCAGCGCAGCGTCTGCCACGCCCAGACAAACGCGCTCCACAACTCGCACAGCAACTGCTCGCGAATGGCCTGGATCCGCCGCGGGGGATTCACGATCACGATCCAGCACATTGAGGCAAACATGTGTTTCTCGGACGTGTGCGAGCACTCCAGATTCCACACAGTAAAATAAAATGGTGGTGGTCTGGTTTGGGAGGGGTCTGATTTGAGCTGTCTTGGAGTGTTCCAGTGGGGTCTGGGCAAACAGGCCGCCCTTCCACGACTGGTCCCCGGGGGGGGGGCAAGAACTGCTCGGCTGGGAGGCTTGCGACTCCCTCCCTTCTCTTGCTACGAAGCTTGGAGCAGGCACCCTGCGAGTAGCGGAACGCGCTCGGTGCACGCCACTCTCTCTCTCACCCCGCTGCGCCGGCGGGCCCGAGCAGGCGCTCGGGCACGCCCGGGGTGCCTGCCCAGGCTCTGGCCGCACACGGGAAGCGAGCAGCCCGTTGGCCGGTGCCGGGCTCCACTCCGAGCGGCTGCGCGCGCCGACCCCTCGACGGGGCGCCGCCGAGCAAGGTCACGCCGTCTTGCTGCACAGGGTGCTGCCCAGCTCCCTCGACTGCTCGGCCACGCAGGTCCGCATGATCTCCCGCTGCATGGCCGCGAACGCGAGGGAGGCCTCCGGGTTGAGCAGCTTGTTCCTAATGACGTCGACGTACCCCGCGGCGGTGTTCGTGGCGAGCAGGCCAGCCTGGTCGAGACGCGCGCCGCAGTCCTCCAGGCCGCGGAAGCCGGCCATCGACGTCACGATCGGTATGCCCATGGCGACGGCCTCGAACGTCTTCACGCTGATTCCACTGTTCACGGGCTCAAGGAATGGATTCAGGATCGCCGCCGTGATCGGGAGGATCTTCTCCTCGAGCTGCTGCGTTGAGATCTCGTACTTCAGGCGCAAGCACTTGCGCCGCAAATGAGACACCTCGCTGGGGTACGTTTCTTGTATGTACCGGGAGATCGAGCCGACAAAGCAAACTTTCAGGCCTCCTGCTCCGTCACGTTGGAGAGCGCATATTCGTTCCAAGTGACCGCCAGTCACCAATTCGGACACGAACCTCCGATTCTCTGCGTGGTCGTTGCCCACCATGGTCAGGTACATCTTGGACTCGGCATCGACGGTCTTCGACACATTGCCGCGGTTGAACAGACTTTCCACCTGCTGCAAATTCAGGGGCCATGACTCGAAAGACGGCCCCAGGATGTCCTCGCTGGCCTTCAGGCGGTTGAGTTCGATGGCGTCCCGGGTCGATATGGACATCGCCCGAGAGCTGACGCCCAGCCATCTGCGGAGCATGGCCGGCGCCCTCTCCCGGCAGTACTCCAGCTTATGCTCCGCGTAGCAGCGGTGATACGGGTTGTCGTCCAGCACGAGGGTGACCCTGCCGTGCAGGCTCGGGTCCGACTCCAAAGCCTCCAGCGCCGTCTCCAGTGTGTGAGCGTACTCCGTCTCCCACGCCCACCCGAAGAGGTAGATACGATCGTACCGATGCATCAAATACTTGACGCGGGACGCGGTGAACCCAGAGCGGTCCCCCCCGACCCCGACGTTAAAATTCGTTGAGCCCGCGATCAGCCCCATGGCCGGGACGGAGTTCCAGTCAACAGTGTCTTGCGGCTTCTCTGTCAGAGTGTCGACACCGAAATCGCAGCTCTTCAGATCCATTGCGAATGCCATTTGGCGGACCCCACTGCCATAATGACTGTCCATCCCCGTTGCGCTGATGACCAGTGCAAACTTGCTAGTCTTATTGGGCCACCGCCACCTATCATTCACCGGAGGCGCAACCTCTTGGTGTGTAGCACCTGTAGGCGCACGATCTTCCTGTGTGCTGAGGACGAGACCCGTGCCCGTGTTATCCGGAATCTGCACAGCTCTGCATGTTGCACATATTGTGAAGCTGGTAATGACGGGAAAGGGAACGCGAAACATGAAAGTATTAGCTGTCGTGAGGTATGTGTGCTAGTTCAAATACGTGGATGGGAGGGCAGTAAATCCAGTACGCCGCTGAAACTCAAATACCATTAGAGGGGGAGGTTAAGGACGAGGAGCGGAAGCAGCAGCAGCGGCGGCAGCAGCAGAGGCGGGGAGGCGAGGCCATTGGGCGTGTAGGATTAGCAAGATAAGGAAGAGGACGAGGACCATCAAGACAATACAACGTAAGATAATCTACACATTCTGCTGGTCATTCCTCGACGCCGTGGACAGTAGATGCTGTCAGCACGGGGCCCAAGCGGGGGCACACTAATCTCTAAAAGGGTGCATTCCTCAACGATGCATCGGAACAGATACTGTGCGCACGGCGCCCCAGAGGGAAGCTCACTCGTGAGGTCCAAAACCCGGATCGCAGGGCGCCAGAAGGGCGTGGGAAGGCCTGTCGAAGAACTCTGGAAGGACCTGAGAGAGCTTCCGAAGGACTGTGGAGAGCTTCCGGGCACGCGTGCTGGGAAACGCTTAGAAAAGGCCTCTCGGCACGGCGCCTCAGAAGGAAGCTCACCATTCCTGCAAGCGTGTCGTCTGGCTTCCGGCCGTCTGCCAGGGCACGCGCCGAGGACAGCGCGCTCGGTGGCGGGGCCGAGACTGGCTGCATGCCCCGGCCTCTGCCCCCCCGCCCGGGCAACGACGGGAACCAGCCCAGGGTCGGGTGATGAGATAATGTGTTGATTAGCAACAAGATCTCTTTTCATCTTGAGCCAAAATAGGTACACGGAGGAGGGTGTCAGAATCACTCCTCCTCGGGCCTGGCCGCCAACCCGGCCAGGCACGACATACGTCGTACGCGGGCGCGTCCAAGCCGACACGCCCATCTCCACGTCACACGCGGGCGCGTCCAAGCCGACGCGCCCATCTCGTCAGCCAGGCTGCGGCCATGCCGCGAGCCCCTCACTTCACCCGTCCGGTGCGATCATACCGCCACCGGCGGAAACTCATCCAGCCCCACAGGTAGCGGAGCATGGATTCGATCCACTCCTTCACTTGATATCCTTCTGGGTCGAACTCGGTGCCCGATCCCAGATGTTGAGCGTCGCCATGTGTCTCCTCAAGAGAGATCCACCCACGCTCTTGGTCAGCACGTCCGCGACATTGTTCTTACCAGGAACCGCGGCGATCGAGAGGTCGCCCTTGCCCACGCGCTCCTGGATCCACAGGTATCGGGATTGAACATGTCGCATCTTCCCGAGACCTCGCCGTTGGACGTGGCCCCGGGCCGCCGATGAGTCTGAGGCGAGCTCCACCTTCAGGTCCAGCCCCCAATCTGCGAAGAGGCTGTGTAGACCCAGGCCCACGCTCCCGCCCTTCACCAGGGCGTAGTACTCGCTCTCCCCACTGCTCAGAGAGACCGTCGACTGAAGATTACTGCCGTGCTTGATGACGTGATGCCCCAGCATCGCCACGAAGCCTCCGGTACTTTTCCGAGTGACTGCGCAGCCCGCATGATCGGAGTCCACGTACACTCGGATCTTGTCGAACATCTTCTGCTCCGTGAAGACCGTCACCGTACTGGGATGCCGCTTAAGGTAGCGGCCAACCCTCTTGAGCATGAGCCAACTCGCCTCCGTCGGCGTCTGCATGGACCTGGCGAGCGTCTTCGATGCCTCTGCCAAGTCCAGCCTGTCCTGAGACAGGTAGGCTACCCTCATGGTGAGGGATCGGAAGCGCGAAGCTTCCGCCGTTCCCAGCGCCGCCGACTTCGCGTCCATCATCTGCTTGTCGGCGCTGCGCTTCTCCATCGGCGTGTCCACGCCGTTGGCCTTGCTGAGACCCAGCTCGTCGATCACGATCTCTGCGTGCCGCTTGTCCGGCTCGATCATCGCATGCCGGCAGGGTCGGCCACCGCCAGGCGGAACTCCCGCACTGACCTCGATGACCCGATTCAGGAAGACCGCCTGCTTGTCGTCGCCCTCGTCGAAGCCGAGGTTCGCAGTCTTCTTGAACTCGTACTTCTTGCCTAACGTGGCTTCGAAGCTGTCGATGTCCTGCTGCTGAGCCAGCACCGCGAAATCGTCGCCGTGCCCCAGCAGCCTCGTCTCGTCCACCTCCTTGTAGAAGACCGCTGGGCATGACACGCCCGCCTTGTAGCCGTGTTCCTCCAACAGCTCCGTGTAGTCGCCCTGCCAGATCTTGCTGGCGTCCTGCGTGCCGTACCAGGACTTGAGGAGTAAGCCACACTTGTCCTCACCGTACTCCTTGCGACTCTCCTCCTCCAGCTCCACGAAGATCCTCCGCTGCGCCTTCCCGTAGAAGTGCGCCCTGCTGATGTCGAAGAAGCCGATCTTGAAGTTGCCCGGCTTCCTGCCCTTCCTGCGAAGCGACTCCTGAATGTGGAGCGGTGCTTCCCGCGTCCACGTGACCATCAGCGAGACCAGCGACCGCATGGCCTCCAGCGGAGGCATTGCCGAGAAAACCCCGGACGCCTCCAGCTGCTCGTCAGGACGCTTCTTCGCCTTGATCTCCTTCACGACGAGCCTGCTCCTGTAGTTGGGCCTCTCCGCGTCACCCTTGTTCGCGTCGACCCACTTGAGTGGGATGGGCGGACGCCCAGTCTCAGCGAAAGCCTGAGACCTCGGGACGATCTCGATCAGCTCCTGCTTCTTGACCCACTCGCGCTCGACCGCGCGAGCCTGGGCCACAAGGCCCGCCTCCAGGTAGCCGCCATTGACGTCGTCCCAGTAGCTCGTCCAGTCCCCGGGCGGCACCGCCGCGTCCACAGGGACTGGGCCCGACTGCTGCACCTGGGCGGTGCTGAGCTCCCCCACGTCATTCAGCGTGTCCTTGAGCTCCTCCAGCACCGCCTCCACCAACTTCGGTGGATAGACCTTCGCAAACCGCGCGATGCCGCCCACGAGCGTGATGTGGCGATGCCACTCCGCGCGTCCGTCCACATTGCTGCAAGTGCCCTGCAGTCTCCGGGCTAAGCCTGGGTGGTTGGTGACCCACCCGGTCTCCTTGCGCACGAACTCCTCCTGGCCACTGCGTGGGTTCGTGAGCTTCATGCCCCACCGACACATGGGGCCTTTGACCGTGAAGACTCCTGGATGCGCGACCAGCTCCTTGACGATGTCCTCATTCCACGATCGCGCGCTCCAGGGATGCTCATGCAGGAAGTACCTGCCTGGCTTCCTGAGCTGACGCCAGTAGGCGTCGACTGCCACCTTCAGGTGGTGTCTGGCCTCCTCCATCTCAGCCGCCTCCTGCTCATCGGTCCTGAACTTGGCGCTCAGGCCCCTCAGCAAGCTGAACTTCTCGCATGGAGGGGACCCTGTGAGCAGGATGGGATCCATCCGCTCCTGCTGCTCCTCGAGCTCCTTGACATCCTCGGGTCGCCGCAAGTCCCACGGCGTCCCGTCCTCCTTGAGTTCCTCCAGGTCCGCCGCGAAGCCCGGGCGCAGCTGAAACTCCGCCGCCCGAGCCGAGAACCGATGTGGCGAGTGCACCTCTGCCACGTCCACGGCGCCCAGCTGCAACGCCGATAAGGCGATGCTGCCCACCTCTTCGTCGGCGATGTCCACGCCGACGCTGGCCCAATGGCCGCTGACCTGCTCGCGAACGAGCGGAAGCAACTCCGCCTTCGCTCTCGTCAGCACTCCGAGCTCGACCAGCTCGACCGACGCCACGTCGAGAGCGAGCACCCGAATGTGTCTCCCCTCACTGGCGTTCCACACGACTGCCACTCCAGCTGGCAGCTGAGGTCCCTCCGCTGGCGCCGGCTGCGCCGCGAGATCCTCCATGTCCACCGGTACCGGCACGTCTGCCGGCTGTGGATCACCGCGCTCGAGGGCCTCCGGCACGTCATCCGGGGCCACCTCCGCCAAGCGCTTCAGCCGCGACCTGGTCGCGGTCATGTCGACATCCTCGGCGGCCTCTGCCGCTCTCACTGCTCCCGAACTGGAGCTCGCTCCTCCTGAAGGAGCCGCCACGCCGGAGCCTGATGCTCCCGGCTGGCTCTCTCGCATGCGCGCCGCTGCGGCTGGCGCTGCTGCCGATCGGCTCGCGGCCGGCGCCGACGCCGCCGCTGCCACCGGCTCGGTGATCCTCCGAGCCGTCTTCGGCGGAGGGGTCCCTGCCGCGGCCGCTGCCGCCGGGCGGACTCTGGCCTCTTGGCCCTGCCTCCGCTCTCGATACTGGCCGGTCCTCTCCCGGCCTGCCTCCTCAGCGTCCAGCGCTTCGAAGATTCTCTTGCTGCACACCGCGTTGTGCGCATGGCCAGCCAGCACCTTGCCGTGCTTGGCGATCGAGACGCACCCTGGGCATCCCGGCGTTGCGCCCAGCCGCTCGACGTCCGCCTTGAGAACGTACATCCTCCTCGGCGCCTGCGGCTGCGGCGGCACCACCACAATCGGTGGCGGACCGGCCTCTCCCGGTCCGACGATGGCTCGCGGCGCACTGGCCGCACGCGGAGCCACGTCCCACGGCAGGCCCTTCAGGCTGTCCCAGCCCGCCGTGATCCACTTCTCGCTCTGCGGCAGGCTGCGAAAGCCGACCGCCTTCTTCACACCGTCGCTCGTGATGACCATCATCGAGCCGTCGCGCGGGTGGTGGCCGATGTAGCGAGCCTCCACCATCTGCTCCTCCAGCGCGTTCTTCCTCGCGCGCTCCCCGGCGAACCGCACCATCAGGCGCTCACCGAAGAGCGGGACCGGCTTCCTCCACTGCCGTCCCGTGAGCCGCTGAAGAGCGGTCTTGCCGTCCTGGCCGCGCCTGTATCGGTTGATCACCGATGCGGCGTGCTCCGGCAGGTGCGCTAGCACTGGGTGCTTGTCCTCCACCTTGACGCCCAGCTTGGACTCCAGGTCCATCTTGAGCGCTCGCACCTGCTTCTTGATCTCGCGCACCGTGACCTCGATCTCCCCATTGGCCTGATGATCGGCCGGTGCCGACTCCTGGGGAATGGCCTCGAGGCCAGGAACCTCCTCCACCGCACGCCTCTTGACCAGCAGGATCGCTGGCTCGCCGTCGGACTTGTTGACGATCTTCCTGTAGCCCAGGATCCGTAAGAAGCGTGCGAAGAACTTGA